CTCCTCAAGCAAAATACCTCGCACAAGAACAACAACAAACCAAGGGTACACGAGACCAGTACAAGGAAAACACAAAATACGAGAAACAAAGCACAATATGTACAAAACACAAACACCAAATAACAAGAGAAATAAAAAAAAAAAATAAGCAAGAAGAACACACAAAATTAAGAAAGGATAACAAAAAGCAAGAGAAATACGGAAAAAAAATGTCAATCAATTGTCTAAATCCAATGGCCTACTCGCCTTCCCCGTTAACGGCGCCGTTTGTTTTGTAGTATTTTTGGGCATGTGGTAACCAAGCTACCCGGACTCGGGTCATTCTCAAAGAAAGTCTATTCGGACACGGATTCAAGTAACGATTGATTCACACGAAAGAAAAATAAAAAGACCTAAACATTCTACTCGCATTTTGGTGGTTGAATTAAGCTAAAGATCACAATTTTAAACTAGACTGAAGCAATATTCGAATTCTAAATCAACCAAGTCCTCAAATTGCACGAAAAAAGGAAAATAGAGAGAAAAATAATAAGGTACCCTAGAGCCAAGATGGTAAGAAGGCACTCAAAGATTCGAGAATATGTAATCAAACAATCGTCACTCGCGATCAACCAATCGATCTCTCAATCAATTCTTGCTCATGCAATTAAGCTAACGCAATCAATAACACAATCACATAATTCCTAGCCTACGAGGATGATAGCATAATCGACTCATGGAAGCTCTTATCTTAACCCGAGACAAATCTATAAGTAAAGACAATCAAGACTTACGAGATCCTAGACCTTCAACTAAGTCTCCAATCGAACCTTAAACGAAGTCTCCAAGTCTCTCGTGCATCCACGCGAAGAAATAAGCAAAAAAGTTGTAATCTTGATGGAGAAATATTACAATAAATTAGGGTCTTACAGCCCTTAGAGAGAGAAAGAAAAATAGAGAGAAGGAGGAGAGAAAAACTAAAAGGAAAATTTTAACAAATGAGGAATTGTTTCCAAATTACAAAGCAACAAGTCTATTTATGCTACACCTTAAACACACACTAAAACACACACATTTAATGAGAAAAACTCGCAGGTAAGGTCGAACTTGCGAGCAAAAGCCAGATTTTCGCGGGCAAAAGGTTTGCTCGCGAGTGCAGGGTCTAGGAGGTGTTGGGAACTCGCGGGCTAGGCACTAACTTCGCGCGCGCAGCTAGAGAAACTCGCGGGCAGGCATGGCGCTGGTGGAAACTCACGGCCTTGGCGTCGTTCACGGGCGCGGGCTCTAGAAACTCGCGGGCAGGCATGGCGCTGGTGGAAACTCGCGAGGTGATAGGATTTCGTGGGCGCGGACGAAGAAACTTACGGGCGACGCTGGGCGCTGGCTGGGCGGACCTCGTGGGCGCAGAACGATGGAACTCGCGGGCACTAGCATTCTTATGGGAACTCGTGGGAGCAGGGCTTCATGGGCGCAGGCCTGGCTGCTCGCGGGCAGGCGCGACTCGTGGGCGCGGGCTCGAGGTCTGTGAATGGTCCCGGTGACCTTTTTATACTCGATTCGCTCTAACTTCTCGCACGCTTCTCCGATTGACTCGAAACTTTTACCCACGCTCCTCAAATATTTCTCTCCTCATCTTGGAATGCTCAAATCGATATCACCACGCAATTAGTAAATATACTCGGAAATGGTTCGCGTGGCTCGGACATGGCTTGGAAATGTCTCGAAAATGGCTCGTTTCCCCAAACATAGTAATGATGGACCTATTCAACACCAAAGAGACAAGAAAAGTACACCGAACCAGAAAAACACGATACGAGAATAAAAATGCACGAAACACGATAAAATGGACCGGTCTACACTAAAACCAACCTAAAAATACTAAACTAGAGCACATAAAACACACGAAAATAAGCACAAAAATACAATAAACAGTGAGCTGGTGGAACCAATCTTGGGCCTCGGAAGGTCGCTAAAAATGCTCTGCACCTTACTGCATCAGTGTATCCATGATTGCATATTTTCACAACTTCGTATATGGCAGGGTTGATCAGTAGAATCATTATATGTGATACTGAGTTCTCGAAAACCACAAGATAATTCTATCTCAAGCACCTCCGGAGTAAAAGATGTCCTCGCACTCTACTAGCTCGATTTTCTTCTACCTTGGCTTATAACTCTTTTTTTAGCAATCATCCACTCAACTGCCAGGACATGCTGAGTTTCTTGTCAGCACAATTAGGTTCACCGTACTCAACACTTGTGGTTGAGCTCACCTAGCTGCAACGACCTCTGCTATCATTCAGTTGAGCTTATCCTTTGTGAGCATCATGACCTCCTCGTTTACTGGAATATCTCCTACTGTTGCCAGTGGTCTTCTCCTGCCCTCCTGAGGTGGATCTTGTTGTGCCTAAAGTACTGATACCACTTCAACGCCCAATATGCCCTCTGGTTGAGTAATAGGATAATTGGTTACAACAAGGAACACCGCAGAAACTCCAATACCCGAGAGGTTGGGAATCGGAGTGATCGACGTCAAAATGGGCCTAAACAATCCCGGTGGCAAGCTCGCTCCCAACGGGCGACTGGACACCCATGCCTCGTCAAAGCTGGTTTTCAGGTTTTTCCTAGGATCATCGCTCACTATGGCTGGTATTTTAATGTTTTTTTAATAGATGTTCCCACAAACGACGACAAAAATGGTGTGTAAAACAACCTCGATCCGATCCGACATCCTTTGAACTGTCCTTGAACTGCTAGAATGACCTGCAAAACAGCGTTGGGGATGTTTCAACGTAGAAACACTAACACTCAAGTCAGTTTTCAAGGGTGGAAGTGTATAATGTATAATAACTTAGAATGACCAATAGAAGAAGATGATGATCATACCCCATCCTTTATACAGAGTCATTAGCTTCCCAAGTGGGGTTGGCACAAATTTGTCCAATCTTGCTGCCGGAGTGCCCGAACTACCCAATCTTGTCGCCCAATAAATTCTGTTACACACATGTTCTTCTTATCCAATCGTATTCACAATATTGTTTATCTGATGCGCTCACACTATTCGACCTCCTTAGGTATCAATTCTAGACATAACCGAGCTAAAAACTTTGTTCCCTCTGACTATTTTGGTCTTTGTTGAACCAAAATCTGTCGTTTGATATTGCCAATCGATTCTACCTCTCCAGTTCCAGGTGTTGGGATCTTTAAGGATAGCCGTTAATGTGCAAGTTATAAATTTTAACTAAAAAATACCTATACGCAATGGATCTATAGGTAAGAGTAGAAGACTCATAGTTTATTATTTTTTCCGACTTTGAGACATTGTAGATTTTCTTTGGAGGAGATCGTTTGTTCACAAAGTCTGTTGGGTAGCCCGACGGGCCTTCATGGATCTACGTGGATCGCTGCGTGCGGACGAGAGCAAGCGGGATGCGTTCAGTGTTAGGATGCGTGTCTCAGGTCGTCTGGTGTCGAGCGGGTTGTGAGAATCTCGTGGGTGCACGGTGTCGGGTAGATGCGAGTCTGTGTCGCCGGGCGGGAGGATGTCGGGGTCGCGGCATCACAGGAGCAGCAGGGCGTCGTCGGGTGCAGCGCGTTATCTCCGAGAATAGAGAGACGACGTCGCATAGTTGCTGCGACGGAGCAGGTCACATCGGTCGTCGGGGCATCTTCGGTTAACTCGAGTCGTCCCGCTATTGAATTACCTAATATCTTTAGAACGCCCTTGGTGGGAAGGAGAATTTGGATATCTCTATGTGTGTTATGTCTTGAAAGACTAGAGAAGAGATGCATTTATAGGCTTCAATATGGACCCTAAGGAGGCATTAAATTGAGCTTCTCCTATTAGGACTAGACTATAGGCCAAACCTACCAAACCTAATAGGCATAATACAGTCATTCCACTAAAGTAGTATTATTGAAATACTCCTAATTTAATTCCCAAATTACGATTTGAGCTCCACATATCTACCCGATTACCTCTCCATGTTTAATATATAATTTCCGTCAATTTATTTAATTACTGATAATTAAATTAATCAGATTACTATAAGCGAAGCTAGTACCGTTCAATCATTATTATTATGCCGAAATTTATCCACCTGTAGGGTTTAACATAATAATCATTCTGAACTCACTTTGAGGACATCATCAAACCTCAACATTGTGAAGTACATGGTGACCGTAAATATTATAATAGAACGCCATGTCATGTAGGAATAATTATCCAAACCAGACAGTTATTGGTCCATATCAATAAATCTCACCTTACTGAATCAAATGAGTAATTACTACATACATGTGTTTGTTTATATCTTATGGGTTAAGATAACGCAGTAATTAGTCGTAGCCTAGTTCTTTTGCTCCGATTAGTATAAAACGAACTGCTCATCTCTGGTACCCATTCAATACACCAATGTGTACTAGTGTGATTAATCAGTCAAAATCAACTGTACCGCTCATAATACAATTGTTCCAATGGATTGTTCAATTTTCATCTAGGTTGAATCGATTGTTTATGTTTCGCAAGTAACCGATAAATGATTTTCTGTCCATCCGTGATGAATAATTTATCTAAATGCAAAGAAAAAAAAAATAGAATTTTATTTAATCTAACATGAATTCTCATTCAACATTAATAGTGTGAATCACATCTAAAGCTAAACTTTCAATATACACACTAACACCAAGTCGAGTTTCCGTCAGATTATTCTACAGTCTTAGCTCGACTTGTTGTTGTCCCCATTCTAATGATAAGACATTTCCCAACTTTAGACTTAAGCTCGACTTGTTGTTGTCCCTATTCTAATGATATGATATTTTCCCAACTTTAGACTTGTTCGATCTCCAATCGACCCGTCATGCTCAACCCTACGAGTTGCTCTCAAATTATACGAGCCATTGAGGTTTTTGTATGATGTACCATATCCAAGTCGAAAAGCGACAAAAAAGGACAAAAAAGAAAAACCAAAATTTGAAATAAAATACTGAAAAAAGCGCGAAGCCGTTTTGGGGTTGGACCTATGGGCAGCCCGGGCAGGCCTACACCGTCCGGGCAGCTCTCGCAGGACTGCTCACACTGCACGCAAAAAGCCCAAAAGGCAAAAAAATCGATCATTATCCCAGCACACTCACTTTGTGCATTCATTGCTCCCTCTAGAGAGAGACTGACACAGAAAGGTGAAAATTTATAGAGAGAGAGTAGCTAAAGAGCAGTCAAACATAGGGATTGAATCTCAATGAAGAGGACTTTTTTTAGCACGTAAAATATCAAGAATTGCTTTCAGTTTTTTGTTTTTTCCGCAGAACTAATGGAGCTGTAGTTGGGGCGAAACTAGGGATATTCTCTTCTGGGTTTTTGTGGGTTTTCGCTTCGAATTCTGTATTTATCCATGCGTGGATCTGAGGCGTCGTATCATGAGCTGCTGAATTTATTGTACTTCTTGTGCATACATTTTAATGGCGTATGTGGGAATGGAGAGGTGTTTGGTGGTGTGGTTGGTTCTTTTAGGGCATTATTTGAGGTGTATCTTTGCTAATCTGGAAGGTTTGTATTCATCGATTGACAGAAATATGTTTTTTTTTATTCTGTTATTTTCTCAATATGCTTTTATTTATTTTGGGATATTATAAAATTTTGTTGGGATTTTTTAGGACTTAAAAGCTCATAAATATGAAGCCTTGGTATGGTTTGGAATTTGTCCCTTTTATGTTGTTAATTTTGTAATATTCATTATGTATTTTTTGGGCATATAAATTGGGAATTATCAGTGGAAGGCAATTACTGTGACATTGAACTGATAGTGTTCATGACCTTATGGGCAAATACTTCTTATTTGTTTCAGACATCATGGCTAATATCTATATTTAATTAACTTCCTTCAGATATCCAAATTCTTGATCTCAATTGTCAGTTTTAGTAGGATATATTCTAGTAAACCACTGGCATGAAATCCTGTAATGGTAGTTCTTAGTCTATATTGGGATCAAATTTGAGTAACCTAATTATTGAACTTGGTCAAATTCATTCTTTGGATACAATTTACATTGTTTTGAGTTTTCCTTATTGTAACTTAATTTCAATTGACGTCATTGGGAGATGATATACTTCTCTGCAAGTATCTGCAGAAAAAATTTTGTTAATGACAAGCATTGTGCTTATTTGGAAGCTCTTCTCTAAATATCTCATGTTTGATGGTTAACTGAGACTTATGGAAGTTAGTGGTTCAATAATTCATTTTACACAATATAAGAAATAGAGACTTTTGGCAAAGTCCATTGTACAAAAGTCGACTTATGAAAGTGAATCTTAAACAAGCACATAATTAGTTGTGGAATCTTAATTTTCATCGGTTGTTGTGTGGATAGGTGATGCATTACATAGCGTTAGGACAAACCTAAGGGATCCTAACAACGTTCTTCAAAGCTGGGATCCAACCCTTGTCAATCCCTGCACATGGTTCCATGTCACCTGCAACAATGATAACAGTGTAATAAGAGTGTAAGAATGCGATTAATGTTTCTTTTTTCCATTTTTGTGCTTAATGTTTTAGGTTGAGGTGCTAATTTAAACCTTATCTCAAATTTTTCATTATTTTTTATGTCAGTGATCTTGGGAATGCTGGCTTATCCGGTCAATTGGTTGGGGATCTTGGCAAGCTGAAGAATTTGCAGTATTTGTATGTTATCCTTTTATTGTTTGGAACCAGTACTCCTGTTTTTCGGATTAGCAAATCATTTTTTTATGTTTTTTTGTCTTGTTTCTTTCCCAATAGAAATATTTCCTGTCATTTCAGCAAATGATTACCTTGATAGAAACGCAGAAGTGTTGCTGAAAGTAATATTGAAACTTTTGGTTTGTAATGATATATATTTTTGGTTTGATGGTGTCTGCTGACACCATTTAAATAAAATATTTGGCAATTAGGTTTAAAGGGAAATGGGAATGCATATTAAGGGAAATGTGGAATTCTGTGTGGGTTATCGAGAGGTTTACTTCAGCAGGTCTTACTTGAGTTTGCTTTTAGCAGTAGAAATTGTGGTTGTTCAAGTTAGGTGATGGCTAGAGAAGTGGTAGAGAGGTTTTTGCAGTTAGATAGAGCTGGTTAATGTCCTTCTATAACTTTCAAATGCTCAAATTGATGTAGTAAGTGAACTTTGGTTGAAGAAAATTGTGTTATATCTAATATTACTTTATTCCAGTGTCCAGCTTAGCACTTTAGGCACATAAAGAATCTAAACTATCTTGAATCCCTCATCTTCATATAATTCTTGACATGCATAAATGGTTTTCTGAAATAGATTAAATACGATAGGAACAGCTTTCGAGTTTCTTCATATTTGGAAGTAATTGATTGAGCCTTGAAGTGAGAAAAATGTTACCTGTCACACTTATGTTAAATCATTCTTGATCACAGATCCACAGGTTGTTCTACTTTGTAGCATTTCTTCCTATATTCGGATGTATGGTATATCTTGGATTTCTATATTCTCTCATTTTTCAACTTCACTACAATCTGTCAATGAATATAACTCTCTGATTCAGATTACATTCAGTACTGTCGTTAACAATATCCTGTCTACCAAACATGATTAAACATGCATGCAGGCACATTGGCACAAGTATGCATGCTCAAATTTTACCAAAATTGACATTGCTGTTCGAATGCAAAGTGTTCTGTAATTAAACTTTTCTGTACTTGAACTGATGCTCTCTGTTAATTCATTGTGATAGGGAGTTATACAGCAACAACATAACAGGGCCAATACCAAGTGACATTGGGAATCTTACTAACTTGGTGAGCTTGGATCTGTACTTGAACAGTTTCACGGGTCCCATTCCAGACACACTGGGCAAATTATCCAAGCTGCGATTCCTGTGGGTTAAGTCATTTTAGGCTTGCAAAATAATATTCCATAACTTATATTTTCTGTGCTTCCCATTTATTTGCATTTTCTTTCTTTCTAGACCCCAGGAGGAGTTTGATACATGCTCTGAACATATTTTTAGGCATCCAGAATCTTATATTAACTGTTTTGTCTTTGCAAGGATAGTCGGCTAAATAATAACAGTCTGACGGGCTCCATCCCAGTTTCGTTGACAAATGTCACTTCTCTTCAAGTCCTGTGAGTATCCAAATTTACTTGCATGGATCATTTGAAAAGAATTACACCTGAGGTTTAGTTACCTGATTTCAAGAAACTCCAGCCATCTCTAAAAAATCGCAAGATATCCTCTATTCAACACTTCAACTTAATGTAATTGGTAATAGGAAAACTAGTTTGAAAGATAATAATTTCTTGTTCTTTTGTTTTTTTCTTTTTAATTATTTATTTATTTAAACATCAGGGATAGTTTACCGTTATATACATCATTTTTGTGACGTAAGTTTTCTTGAAGTATCTTTTAATTCTTGTGTCTTACACTCTTATGCAGGGATCTATCAAACAACCGTCTATCGGGTGCAGTTCCAGATACTGGTTCCTTCTCTCTATTTACACCTATAAGGTATATTGATGCACGAAAGGGCCTGATAGCTTACATCTCATGGATGCCTATTATGAGCTGACATGGAAAAATTTTGCCCATTTACAGTTTTGCAAATAACTTGAACCTTTGTGGCCCAGTAACTGGACGGCCTTGTCCTGGCTCTCCTCCGTTCTCACCACCTCCACCGTTTGTGCCACCTCCCCCGATTTCATCTCCAGGTTCTTTCTTAGTCTAATGTTTCTTTTTCTGTCTGCCCATGTGTTTTATTTAGTCAGGAAAATGAGAAATGTATGGAAGTTTCGTTTGGTGGTCTTGCAGTTTTACACTAAAAAATGAAATGGCACTTGTTTTTTCTGATTATTTCCTTTTAATGTTTAGTACATATTGGTGTAGCTTTAAGTATTGAAAATAGTCTATAATCTGGGTACTGAAAAATTAGTGTAAATTGTGATCTATCAAGAATTTGAATTTGAGTGGTTGCTAATATGTTATTTATAGTTTTTTGTGAAAATTTATGCATGTAAACAGTTCTCCAATAAATCACTTAATCTAACTATGACTGATTACATTCAGTACCCAATGCCTATGTCATAAACCTCGTGTGTATGCTCTGTTGATATGAAAATACATTATGATACTTCTGTTTTTACATATTCTGTTGGTGGTGTCTTTGGGATGCCTGAATGAAGATTAGGCACTCACGGAAGTACTGTGGTGGTGATTGGATGTATTTTTTTTACTGTCTGTTGAATCGAGATTTGCCTTATTGAAACTGGAAATGAAACAGCTTTTTTTTTTGTTTTTTTCCAAATTCTATTCATTCAATCTCATTCTGTTTCTGCAATTTGACTAGCAGAATTGTAAAATAAAAAGTAATCATTACCAACACTATCGTACTCACATATTTCTAACCAGCAAATATTGTCAATCAACGTTTTATTATTTCTATATACCATACCAAGTTAGTCATGGCTCCGTTTATCTTTTATCTATTCACAACCCCAAATCTATCTCACTTTTTCTAAAACTAACTTTTTATTCTCTATCTCAAACGAGACAAAAAATTTCAAGTAATCCTTATTATCCAGTCGCACCCTCGTTCTGTTCTGTATTTTGAATATTAAATCTAGTATGACTTTTAGTTAATTAAATTTCCAAATTTCTTACCTTTCCATCTTTTACCATGCTCTTTAGCCGTCTCATGGATGGATATAACAATAATATTATTCAATACTTATTTATTTTCCTAAAATAAACTATAAATCTCAGGAGGAAATAGTGCAACTGGAGCAATTGCCGGAGGAGTTGCCGCCGGTGCTGCTCTTCTATTTGCGGCCCCCGCCATTGCATACGCGTGGTGGCGCCGCAGGAAACCCCAAGAATTTTTCTTTGACGTGCCAGGTTGGCAATCCTTTACTTATTTATATTTATATTTTATTTTATTTTATATGATTTTATTTATTTATTTTCTCATTGTGCAGCTGAGGAGGACCCTGAAGTCCACCTGGGACAGCTCAAGAGATTTTCCTTGCGTGAGCTTCAGGTGGCGACCGATAGTTTCAGCAATAAGAATATATTGGGCAGAGGTGGGTTCGGGAAAGTGTACAAAGGGCGGCTGGCCGACGGGACATTGGTTGCTGTCAAGAGGCTTAAGGAGGAGCGGACGCCAGGTGGCGAGCTTCAGTTTCAGACAGAGGTTGAGATGATTAGTATGGCTGTGCACCGTAATCTGCTCAGGTTGAGGGGCTTCTGTATGACCCCGACAGAGAGGCTTCTCGTTTACCCATACATGGTTAACGGAAGTGTTGCTTCGTGTTTGAGAGGTGATGCCCAATTATTACTGTTATTATTAATATAAATTTTTTGTAATAAAAATACTTTTCATTGTGAACACTTTATCTTTCATTGGGGTTTTGACCTTTTTATTGAAAAGAAAATATACCCAGTTTTGCTTGTGGGGAAAATAGAAAAGAAAAAATGGATTGGTAGGTGCCCATTCTGTAGCTCATTCTTTAATTGCAAAAATATGGCCATTTTTTAGAAGTACTTGATGCTATTATTGACAAGAAAATAAAATTTGTAAGTTAAAGAGTTCTCAAATGTGAAAGGGAAAAATTATATGGAAGCTATTTCTGAGAAAACAGGAAGGAGTATTTTATTGCCGAAGAAAATGGAAAAGGTAAAGTAAATGTATAATATTTTCGAAGCTACTTATGCGAGGTTTGGAAAGGTGAAAACTTTTGGTAAAGTAATTCATTTGTGTTCACAGAACACTTGAGTTGACATTTATGATTTCAATTGTAGAGACTTCACTTCAAGGATTCTCTTTATCTTTCTTTTTGATAATTAATAATTAAATATAATTTGCTCTCTGATATTAAGTAGCTGTAACATTTTACTTGTAAATCCACAGAACGACCGCCAAACGAGCCACCACTCGACTGGCCAACAAGGAAACGCATTGCTCTGGGGTCCGCCCGAGGATTATCTTATCTGCACGACCATTGTGACCCGAAGATTATCCATCGAGACGTAAAAGCCGCTAATATATTACTGGATGAGGAATTTGAGGCTGTGGTTGGAGATTTTGGTCTGGCTAAGCTTATGGACTATAAGGACACTCACGTCACAACTGCAGTGCGTGGGACCATAGGCCACATTGCCCCTGAGTACCTATCCACCGGAAAATCTTCTGAGAAAACGGATGTCTTTGGTTATGGGATTATGCTTCTTGAGCTGATAACTGGACAAAGGGCGTTTGATCTTGCTCGTCTTGCGAATGATGATGATGTCATGTTGCTGGATTGGGTAAAACTCTCTCTCTCTCTCTTTACTATTTCTATAATTTTTATTATTATGGTGTGCTTGTTTAATTATTTTTTTGGTTTTGATTGGTTTTTTCTGGTTTAACTATAGTTAATTTTGAAAATGTTGGTTGGGTTAGGTTTGAGTTGGATTTTAAATGTACTAAAAGAATATTGAAAATAAAATAATTAAAGTTGATTTGATGTAAAAGTATGAAATGGATGATTTGAAGTGATGTGTAGTTAAAATTATTTGTGTGGATGAATGGTGAATTAAAGTCGATGTAATGTGTAAGGATGAATGGATAATTGATTGTTATTATTTAATTATATTGATAATATTGAGAATAGTGAGCTAGATTGGAGTTGTTTTGTTCAAATTAAAGCTGGATTCGGGAAAATAAGAAATCACGGTAAATGGTTTCAGGTTTTGGGATTCCCAAGTATAGTATACTGTTTGCCAATGTAGGTGAAAGCTGAAAAGCTACTAGTTGAAATTTTTATTTATTTTGTTTTCTTAAATTCTGAATGTTGATGTTATTTGTGGCTGAAAACCTTCAATCACGAGGACTATTATTTATTTAATTATCAAATATTTGTTCAGGTGAAAGGGCTATTGAAAGAGAAGAAATTGGAAATGCTAGTCGACCCTGATTTACAGAGCAAATACGTGGACTCGGAAGTGGAGCAGTTAATCCAAGTTGCTCTGCTTTGCACCCAGAGTTCGCCTATGGACCGGCCCAAAATGTCGGATGTCGTGAGGATGTTGGAAGGTGATGGGCTGGCCGAGAGGTGGGACGAGTGGCAGAAAGTTGAGGTTTTAAGGCACGATGTTGAGCTCGTCCCTCATTCAGCCTCTGACTGGATTGTCGACTCCACCGAAAATCTACACGCAGTCGAGTTATCGGGCCCTAGATGAATTTTCTCTTTTG